TGAATTTTATCAAATTTAAAAATAAGCCGCTGGATTTGGTAGAGTTTGGTGAAAACTACTCTTTTTCTTCATTTTTCACCAAACCCTACCAAAACCAGCGGCTTATTTTTAAATTCGATAAAATTCAACACTAGTTTCGGATGAAACAGATAAAACTGGTTATGTCTGCCACAAAAGTTTGCTAAAGTTTAGGGTTTTAAATATCAAAAATATGCAACCTTTGAGAGATAGTCGCAGGATTTGGTGCATCCTTAGTCATAGGGAGCTCGGTAAACTCGATGTTATGCTAAAGTGCTCTTACTTGATTTCTATTTCGAGTTATTCTAAATAATAGGCGACGCCACTGTTGTACTTTTTCTATAGTACGCATAATCTACCAAGGAAATGTCTTTTGTACCTAAAATAGAGCTTTTTCATAAAATATTGTCTATCAATGCATCTAAAATAATCAGATCATCTCAAAATGAGCTTCTAGTATACCGGATGAAAGATAAACATTATTTCGTTGAGCATACTCTGGAAATAACTGATAAAACAGAATAGGAGTACAGTAATCTCTAATAGTGAGAAAATGCACCTATGGATTATACCTTACATAAAAAATAATGATGTATGATTATAACAGATCACCAATAAACTTCTTAGAGTAGTACATGCATTCTTTTTTTTTTGTATCGAATTTTAGGAAAATACACAGCTATGAAATATAATGTTTCATAGGGCATTGATTTTAATTTTTTTCTTAGAGACCCACTGGACGCTCGCGACTGATTAATGAGATAATTAAAAATATAAATTAGAGTTAGATTAAAGATAAAATATATACTTTGTCTCATCTGTACATGGAATTTCTCTGTCTGCAGTTGATCAGTTATGGCAAAATCTTATGCTTGATACGTGTTATTACCTGATCATATACAATATGTTGACGATGATGAGCAACATATGATCTCATACATTATATTAGTGTAGTAATGAGTAATAGAATGAGCATATTACAAAACGAAAGCAAATGATATCATTTTCTTTCTTCTTTTCTTTCACTTTAGAAAAATTGTTATCTACCTACTAATATGCTATGAAATTCTTATATGTTGCATTGTTATTTCTTTCTGACGTGTAAGTTTAGCCAGTACCACGTTTATTCTTTCTGTGATTAATTACAGATCACTACATAAAACAAGTATTCAAGAACTCAACAGCACAAATAGTCTGCTTATGGCAAGTCCCTTTTACTCACAAAATAACCTTAAAATTTTTCTATTTATTTGTATGTCTCATTATAAAACAAAAAAACCTTATCATGCATACAACATGGGAAAAAATAGACAGTTAACATCTTTTATTTTAGGCAAATAGTGGTAAACCGTCAGAACAAAAGAAAGAATACTCGTTCAAAGTTTTAGTCATTGGAGAATTAGCCACTGGCAAAACTGCTCTTGTAAAACGTTATGTACATAATTTTTTCTCTGAGCACTACAGAGCCACGGTATCCTTTTAATAATAGAGTAAATGAAAGCTTTTGTTCATTTTTGAGTTCCATTATATAAGCTTTAACTTAAAAATTAGATTGGCGTAGATTTTGCATTGAAAATTATTAAATACAATGAAGACACTACAATTCGTCTTCAATTATGGGTAGGTCATTTGAACATATTGTACTCGACTTTAAAAAAGATAAATTAACCATTTATCCCGTATCTTTTTAGGATATTGCAGGTATCGTTACATGATCTAATAGATACGAAATACTTTATATTATTTGTGTAGGACAGGAAAGATTTGGTAATATGACTCGGGTTTATTACAAAGAAGCTGTTGCATGTTTAATTGTTTTTGATGTTACACGTTCATCTACATTCGACGCTATTATGAAATGGAAAACCGATCTCGATATTAAAGTACAATTACCGGATGGCAATCCGGTTCCTTGTGTTCTATTAGCGAATAAAGTGAGTATCGTAATAATTTTAACTGGTCTCTTACTTTTGGGAAACAAGACTATTGTATTGTACATGTTTTCTGTAAATCAAATCATATAGAGTTCTCCTCTCACTCATTCATGGCAAACATACAATTTTAATGAGATTTTATATAAAATTTCTTGTTTGTATACTTTTTCTTTTAGTGTGATTTAGCAAAAGAAGGTCTTGTTAATGATGAGACCAAAATGGATGAATTTTGTCGTGAAAAAGGATTTTGTAAATGGTTTGAGACATCAGCTAAAGAAAATATAAACATAGAAGCATCAGCAAAGTATTTGATTGACGAAGTAAATTTATCACTTTTTTTCGTCTATGTACCCTAAAATAATCTCTTTTCTTTTTCTATTTTTTAGATAATGAAACATCAAGATGAAATTACACAAAAACCAAAGAAAGCAGATGATTTAGTCGATATCGAAAAAAATCGAAGTCATGATAAAAAAAGAGGCTGTTGCAACAGAAAGTGAACAGTTTATACTCTGTGAATATAAAACTAATCAAATTTCTATTAGAAGCTCTTCGTTTATTTTAATAAAGCTTACTTAGACATTTTCCTTTGTTTTGTTCTTGAATTTCGTGAAATATAATCACTTTTTTCAAATAGACCTGAATTTCGTAGAAAATTACAAATTTATATAATAATACAAAGGACAAGTGGCGGTAAGATCATTTTTTCGCCCAAAACATTTAGGGAAAAAAACTATATGGTTAGAATCAGTATTAAATTCTGAACA